CACTTGAAAATGAAACAAAAATATTATCAATATCACAATTAAGTCCACTAATTACTGCTGGTGTTTTCTAGGTGTTTTATATAGAAAATGAGTGGTTTAATCCATTTTTTGGGTTGGTTGTTTTTTTGTTTTCTACGTATTTTATATAGAAAATGAGTGGTTTAATCCATTTTTTGGGTTGGTTGTTTTTTGTTTTCTACGTATTTTATATAGAATATGAGTGGTTTAATCCTATTTTTTGGGTTGGTTGTTTTTTTGTTTTCTACGTATTTTATATAGAAAATGAGTGGTTTAATCCATTTTTTGGGTTGGTTGTTTTTTGTTTTCTACGTATTTTATATAGAAAATGAGTGGTTTAATCCATTTTTGGGTTGGTTGTTTTCTACGTATTTTATATAGAAAATGAGTGGTTTAATCCATTTTTTGGGGTTGGTTTTTTTTGTTTTACTGGATGACGTAACAGGCAAAAACATAAGATGACTCAATATGGTGCACTATGTGGACCCCACCGGTGAAGAACGGTTTGCAAACAAGTCGGTAATTCCAATGTTAACCTGGAAAGGTTCCTCTTTTTTCTTTGTATTCAAACTATCTGAAAAAAATAGCACATACACACACAAACAGTACAACGGTCAGGTGGCCGATCAATGTAACATCGTCGTCATTTATCGTTAAATGAATACGGATTAGTTCTACGAAGATTTATCCACAGCATATGTATTATTGCTCGTCACGAAAAGATTGCACGAGTATTCCAGTCTCCAATACTGGCTCGACAATGGTAGTCCCCAGATCTGATTTATGCAATCAATCACCATTGTAAAGGGCTTGAGACAGGACCGCGACGTCGCTCACTTAGCCGAGCGTTGCTGCCTTTTGAAATATACTAGTGTCATATCTGGGATAGACTGCCGCTACAGGAGACCGCTAACAATGCGAACGAGGACGCCCTTGCTTTTCTTGAGTCAGTTCGGCCCCATCAGCTAATATTAGACGTGACTGTAACGACACCGTAGCGATTTTAATTGCTTGGAAATGAAGACTAGTTTGACAGCGTATTATTGTGCCATATTAAAAGCCCTTTAATTGAATATTGTGGTGGAACAAGTGGGGGTTTTGTAGAAAAGAATTAAACACCAGTAGGGTCAGTATCACGGGCTTAAGAGCTAACTGCACGTGCACTGGAGTAGCTGGTGTTAAGAGAAACAGTATGTGTATATGCTGGTTCGGAAAGTAATTTGACACGATTACAACCTAAGCATGAAAGATCGCTCCTATAGAATCAAATAATAGTATTCACGTAAACCTTTTCCTCATTCTAAACATTTATAAGCTGGGCATTTGTACGTTTAAAATCAAATCTTACAACTTATAGCACGTATCAAAACCATTTCGGTTTAAGTATATTAGTCTACCATCATAAGTAAATATGTAATTCATCATTAAATTGTCTTTTAACTGCTTCTCCACGTGAACAGTTAACCAAAACTCAAGGCCAATAATAAAAAAGTATCAAAACAGCAAGTCTGAAGCTTACAGCAACCGGTACTTTTTTGCACAACTTGCACGTTTACCACTACCGTTGATCGATACCTGGGCTGATGCAAGACACCAATTAGAACTACAATTATAAACGAGACATGATATGTTTTGTCGAGTAATGTAAACTGTCATGCTTCATATTCTAGAAATAAAAACCCGAAATCAATCAGATATTACAACTAGCAAAAAATATATCATAGGGTTATTCTAACCATACAAAATTCTCTGTCATCAGTTTAGTTATTGTATGTGTGTTTAGCGTGTCAAACTGTGAATCTAAGGGCACGGGGTTCGAGTTCCGTTGCTTCCAAAATGTGCTATATACTTTCGACTAACAGTCGAACTTCACGATTTGATTAGAGTAGTCCAAAAATTGGCGGTGGGCGCTGTTTACTAGCTGCCTTCCCTTTAATTTATCAGTTCAAATTTAGGGACGTCTAGCGCAGCTAGGTTTTGTTTAGCTTTGTGTGAAAATCTGAAAAAAACAAAGAAAAATAAAATACTGTAATAAAGCTATTTCTATATTGTTCGAGAATGTTAATGTAAACAATGTATATTTCTTAATGCAGAGCTAATTTAAGTTAGACAGCTTCAAGCGGAGTTTAAAATGTAATGAAAAAAAATGTTAAAAGTGCTGAGAAAGCAAATATAAACTCGGACTAATCATCACTTGTCATCCGTATCAAAACATTATTCACAAACAGGTGGCGTTGTTAAGTTCACTGACGCATCTTAACAGATATTTAACATACAAAGAAGTGAAGAATCTCACATAACAATTTCGTGTTTTGATTGCATTCTTAAACGATAATTTATCTGAAGGGTCTACAGGAAACTTTCTATATTTTTTTAAGTCTCAAACATTACCATTTGTTTTCGTAAGTACTGAGGGGATCTAAGTAAAATATCATCCATGGTGTTATTTAGATATTTAAAAGTCTAACTTGAAGGCTTTTATTACTTTGTTAAGTTTTAGAACTTTGGCTTTCTATTAATAGTCAAGATATCAAAAGGAAGGCATTTTGTGGTTTCACTCATATTTCAGATATCAATACTTTTCCAACTTTAAAGACTTTCTCATTTAAATCTTAAACGTTATAACTTTAATTTAATTGCAAGAAAAATGGAAACATGTTGTATTTATTCAGAAACCATAAATTTTCTTAGAATTAGATACCTGCTAATTTGGTTTGAAGTTCGCGTAAAACTATATGAGAGCTATCTGCGCTAGCCGTCTCTAATTTAGATATGAAAGACTAGAGGGAAGGCACCTAGTCATCACCACCCAACGCCAACTCTTGGGCTACTCTTTTACCAACGAATAATGGGATTGACCGTCACATAATAACGTCCCCACGGCTGGAAGGGCGAGTATACTTCTTGTAACGGAGATTCGAACCCGCAGATTATGAGTCGAGCGTCTAACCGTCTGGCTATGTCAGGCCATACCTGCTAATAATTATTAAAATAAAAATGCGAGAACAAGTTGCACTTGCTGTTAGGAAATAAACTCAAAAATTTTTAAAAATTAAAGTGATGTATTTAGCTACTGAATAGATTAATTTACTCTAATCCTGCCTAAAATAATTTCAAGTGTCGCGGCTATTGCGGATTCCCTCCTGTTTTAACTTCGAATCGGTATTCTTAAAAATAAAGGTCTAAAAACGACGCGGTTTTAATCCTATGATGGCAAAACCTGCATTTTTCAACAACATGATGCTAATCGATTTACAATTTACACTTAAATCAATGAAATAGAGACTCGGGTTTCTTAACTAACTTGACCATCCTCCCCATAAGCACGACCATAGGTTAAATTCCTGCTCAATGTCAGTTTTAACTTTTTCATATAATCTATAACGATGTTGTTGTATGCAATAATTGAAAGTTGATAAAAGTTTGTAATATTTTAGTTATTATAAACCAAAAATCATTGTTATTGTTATAAAATAATGGCAATCATGTTTTATGTAACATAAGCACTTGTCCTACGATTTGAAATGCGAATGATAGGTCATTGAGCGTATTCTCGTAAATGAACATCTGATAGGGTTGCCTTTACATTGTCACAGTTCATAACATTTTATTTTAATATTGAGTATGGCTACTATCAACAGTAAAGTTAGACTCTCAAAAATTCTGCGTGCGTAAAAACAGCATTTATTGTGTCTGGTTTATTCGCTTTCATCATCCACTATTGCTTTTATTCTATGAATCTCCCTTATATATATTTGGAAGCAGGAACAAAAACTTAATTTTATTGAACAACAGTCTTGTTACACTAGGCTTCACCTGGAGAGTAAGCTCGCACCTTGGCCTTTTCGCTGATCTATTAGGTTCGGACGTGTCGTCGTCATATCGCAGCATGTGAACTAGTGTCTGAATGAACTGCATTATGTCTTCTCTCTCTCTCTCTACGAACACAGTATACTACATTAGCATACTCTGCATGCTATCTAAACTACTTCTGTGTCGCTTTAGTTTGGAGTTTGTATTACATTTAATTCCTGCTGTGATACAGCAGAATTTAGCAATTAAATCTCCTTCTAGATATTTTAACGTGGTGCCTCTGCTGTTAAAGTTTAGTGAACTTCACGAGAGGGACTTTCTTTAAACACCATGAATCATATAAAAGAACATAAACGAAAGATGTTCTCTATATACAAACACTCACTGTAATACATAAAAAACCGGAATTATTTGGCACGATAAATACATTCAAAATTTTTGTACACTATTTTCAATTGTCAGTGAGTACGCATTTATGTTGTAGATAATTATTCAACTCCACATTCTTAGTTTAATATAAAATCTAACATTTCAGGTGTGAACTTATTGTCAAAGTCTTGCAGGTAGTTATATACTCGGTAAAACAACAGTAGAACATTTATTTCTTCATTTTTCTTATTGCTAATATAATTAAATAAATAGATTATTTATTAAATCCATTGGTATAAGCTAAAATTGAAAACAAAACAAAACACGCTCTTTCATTTAAGGGCTAGTTTCATACCAAACCATAACAGTTCATGAACTTATAACGTGGCTGTTTGGCAGTGAAAACTATACTTTCAGGGTTTGGTTCTGAAAATTATCTTTGTTTGTTTGTTCAAGAATATTTGAGCAAAGTTATACAAAGCAGGGCCTCTGAAAGAAATTTTATCAGGTGGTACAAAGTTTCTTTCGGGCCCCCTTCCCTTCTCCATTAATCATCCTGTTTTTATCCACTACGGTTTTATGGCATGAGCTGTAAAGCCAAAAAGGGTATGCAAGATGAGAGAGAGAGAGAGAGGTGGAATGGAGTGCTCTGTTGATTTTCTGCATTAAAGACCTTATGCTTCTATACTCCTTCCATGATAAATATAAATAAAATAAAAGAAGATCAGAGAGAAGAAAGCACATTGAAACATCCTTTTACATTACAATGCAGATCAGAAGACATAATTATTAGTAAAAAGTAAAAAAAAAGGTACATAGGCTTAGTATTTATTTTACAAAAATAGCTTTCCTGGCCTTTTTTTGTGAAAAATGTTGAATCACAGCATGAAAAGTAATTGTTCTGGCAATGTTTGATTCAATACTTAGCCTGGCCAAATTCACAAGACATTGTGGACCTTCAATAATTCTTAATCAGCTTGAGTTTTCTAAATGACCTCTCTGCAGAAGCTACTGTTGCTGGAATTGTTAATAGTATTTTTAAGCTAAAACAAACATTTGGAAACAGGTCACCAAGTCTGTACTCGGTTAACACGTTCAGCAGATCTAATGGCTTTAACTGTGCATTTCCAAAATTTGCTTTATGTCCTGAGGGTAAATGTTGCATTTCTTTTCCAAAATCATCACCGTTAAAGTCAGCAGGATATTGCTCTGATAAAGATAAAGCGTTTCTCTCCACATCACTTTCAGACATGGTGAGATATTTCCACAATAAATAAATTTTTCAGCCAATTGCTTAACAGCATTGAAGCAGACAGTTAATCCTGTTATAAAATTGTCTACCAAAACGTAACACACACACTTTCTGAAGTAGGTCTCTTCTGGCGTATCATCTGTGTCATTCATTTCTTCCAAGTTAACATCAGGTGTGCTGTCATCATGTGACCTTGCCCTCTTGCTCCTAACTCCACCACATCTGAAGGGTAGTTCTATTTTGATCTTTAGGCTTGACGCAACCACTTTGGCTTCATTCCACATGCATTTCCAGTTGTTTCGAAGTATTGTCAGATCTGTGAGGAGAGTTTCTATTATCGTTACTTCAACATCCAGTGTGGCATCTCTATGTTGGATGGTCTTGATGGAATTATCTATGGCAGCTAATATTTTGTACCACACAGCTGACATTAACACACAGGCAAAAGATATCACATATAATAAAATTCCATGTACTTCATTTCTTGTTTTGGCCTTCAAATTTAGTTCTAGGAAGTCTTCCAGTGCTAATTTAATGCCAGGCAAGTGAGGTGCAAAAGACTTTACACATTCAACACGATCTAACCATCTTGTTTCAGACATACGATTAAGAGAACGACCAATACGGTTTTGTAGTAATTCCCACCGCTTAGGACTGGAATTGAACAAGTGGTACACAGTTTGAATTATTCCGAAAAGGTTATTGCTTCACGTGTGCATTCAGCATCATCATTTTCACATAAGTTGAGTGTGTGACAACCGCAAGGTGAAAAAATTGCTGTTGAGCATTGTTCTTGTAATTTTGCTTGTACGCCGTTGTATTTTCCAGCCTTATTTGCCGCATTATCATAGGCTAGAACTCTACAGTCACTGAGAGGAATAGCGTGTTCTTTCAATGTATCAGTAATCAACTGAACAATTTCTTCCACTCTTTTGTTGCTACAATCTGCAAACTTGAGAAGTCTTTCTTGAATCTCATACTGCGTTTCCTTTAAAAGTACGTATCTCAAAAGAAATGTTGTTTGTTCAATATGGGAGGAATCTGGAGTGGCATCTACTATTACTGCAAAGTACTTTGCAGACTGCCTCTCAAGCAAAATGTGTTATTTCACAAGATTCGAGCATTCTGCAATAAATTCATTTTGTGAGTCAGGGGACAGATAATGAACTTGAAGCTGCTCACTCCTCTACACTTAGCACATGTTCCTGAAGTATGAGGTCCCACCTGGAGAGCAGTTCAATGAGTCCTAAGAAGTTTCCATTCTTTGAATCACCAATTCAATAGATGAACCAGTAAATGCCAGACCACATTCTCACAAGAAGAGTACAACATCGATGATGCGCTTTAAAATATTGTACCATTTCACAGCTTCAGTTTTGATTGACGCTTCTAAGATGGTGTCAACTCCTGTCTCAGACAGCAGGCGCCTTTCTAGTTCCCGCCAAGCTAGGTAACATTATCTGTGTCTATTGCCTTTTTCATGTTTTGGGATCCTGTATAAAAGTTTCCGCCACTTCCAATTAGCATCCCAGCCTTCAGCAGATACCAGTGCAGACATAGACGCAGAAGTGCTAGTCTTGACTGTCTTATGCCAAAATAATCGACATGGAAAGCAATATAATGCTTGTTTCTGTTGACTTCAGACATGTAGTTCTCCATTGGTACTTTGAAATTTCAGTATGCTTTCTGGGAATACATGATTGCAGGTGTCTTTAGGGAATGTTTTAGGCAGAGGGATATGACCATTGGTAACATACTTTTCTATTTCATTTTGAGATGGAAACTCGGTTATGATACATCCAATGTCAAGGCCTACATTATGATTACTCCTCTCGTCTTCCAAATTCATTGCCACATACGCCTGTATGTCGGTTTCTTTCTGTGTTCCATTTTCATTTTCTGAATCTCCTCTTCATGAAAATCCTGTGCATGATTACCCAAGTCAACTGTTCCTTGTTTGGGGATGAGGTTTCCAACAGTTTATTCTTGCTCCAATTCTATAGGTGAGTTCAATGAAAATTCTTTTGAAGCCGCACTTAATCCAAATTGAAAGAGCGTTTGTTGACCCCTTTTTTCATTTTCCACTCGTTCTTTCTTTTCTTTTCAGGGCTCTTGATTTGTGAGAATACATTTTGGAGAGATGGTTTATAATTTATACTTTTATATCTGAAAAAAGGAAAAAACAAACAATAAGACAAAAAATATTATATACTAATAATTTAGTAGTAGTACTAGTAGTGGAAGTAGTGGTAGCAGTGGCGGTAGGCTAACAGTAATAGTAGTAGTAGTAGTAGTGTTATAAAAATAATCTTTGTACAATTGACATATTGGTTATCCAATAAAAAGGGCCAGTAAATTGTGGTCAAGCCAAAATAATCAATCAGACTCTGGGTAAGCATCAATAAGCCAGCGGGCTGCAGTATACTCGCAAATAGGAAAGGCTGCATACACACTATGGCCCCCATATTATCTAAATATCAGGCACGTGCCCAGGGATGTTGTCCCCATTTTTTCTGAATCCTAAATTTCTTTTTCCGTTTGCTGGTATTATGTTCCGTATTGTCTTTGATGTTGCTCGATATATTTCTCACAATACTGACAGGTGCGTAAACGTGGTAGTTTGCGATGGTCAAGCCACCCGGATCTACGCTCTCTCCCGCACCCCAAGTGGACCAGGACGACAATGATTATGAGATGTCGAACGTGATATTGCAACTGTTTACTTTTTCTACGTTCCTTAATTCATTCAATGTTTTAAATACAAATGAAATCGCCACGTAATCTACGGTAGCATCAGGTCAATGAACACTGCACGCGTTGTTTATTATTACTTGCTGTAGGCCTGATGTCGAATGTATACCAGCACTACATCAATAAAAAACGTTCCACAGAAATGGAAGTGTCGCCCGCGCGCGAAATAGGCCGGCCGGAATTCGAACTTAAGCAAGGTTTTTAGGTAGAAAAGGCACCATGTAAGTTTAAAGTAAATAGTTATTCGTTCGAAAGACACCGTTCGGAAACAAGTGTGACAACGACGAAGCATACAGCGGATAGTAATCACTATGTGTATAC